TCTCGCAGAAGTTCGACGGAAAGATGTTCTGATCTTGAACCCGTGGACGTCTTCATGGTCTGGAGGTGAGCACTTTAGCAGGTGTACCAAAGGGATGAACGGGCATCGGCACAGGTATTGATGAGCGGAAAAGGTTGGTGTAGAAATTCTTTGCGATAAATTCTATCTTATATCGGGAAGAAGTCGAAGTCCCGTCTTCGTTCAATAGTGCGGCCAACTGTACGTGATATTCGCAGAGGCTTTCGGCATATTTTAAGACTTCGTTTTCCTTCGGTTGCTTCCAGTAGCTTGGCTTGGCTGTACTCCATGAGATCTCCTGCAAAGTTGTTTTGCTACTAGCGTGGCCATCATGCTCTCGAAGTGGATTGCATTTGGATCTTTTCGCAAGGATCTTCTTTCGAGAAATTCCTTGGTGGTTTTCGGAGTGATTCCAAGTGCTTTCGGAGACTACTGAGGCATACTTTTCGCAGCTTTGCCATCCTTTCAGAAGCTGGTCGCAGTCGTACGTTGGGTCCTCCTAGATGGGCTAAACATAACTTGATATGAGCTCTTCTAACCTGTTACCGTCATACACGATTTGTTTTCTACTTGCGGCGCTGTGGCAGACCTTCTTTTTCAGCTTTCGCTGAATCGTATTTCGCTCAAAGGAGATGGTAATCGGAGTTACTGCAGAAGTATGGAAATACTGAGATATCGAGCGTCGTCGATCTCCGCTTGAGTCGTTTCGTTGGCGATTAACAGTCCACCGGCAATGTTTATTCTTCATGAGTATGGAATTTTCATGGAAAAGTCGTGCGGCAGAGAGAAGCCTAACACACCGTTGCCGTTTTTGTTCCGGAGCCCATATCCAAACTTCACGATTCTATAAACCTTTTTTGGTGGCATCCCGATTTTGCGTTGAAGTCGTCCATAACAAACTTGTAGAAGCAGTTTTCATTGTGGACGACCTCTTCCACGTCTTAGTAGGAAGCATCTAGTTCTTATTCGTCAGCTGCTGATGAGTGAGTAGCAGCTGATGATGCTGATGGTCACCCGACGTGGAAATCGTAGTCGTAGCATGCGAATCGACAAGGTGGACGATGGATGGATGGACGACAAGCTAACGTTCCAACGTTTCGTGATGTTTTACCACGAATGATCAGGGTCCCATCAGTCATCTGTTGCCCGTCCTTCTTCCTGGATTTCGTTCCCTGCACAGCGATGGCATGGTACTTGATGTGCTCTGCAGCAGCGAGAAGAGCGTGGAGGTCAGCGTTTGTGGAGAATGTCCTAGCATTGTAGGTGCATAGATGATGCAGTCTCCATGACCTTTGTGAACAGACGTTGCTTGTCCACGAACTGTCGTTTTTGTCCAATCCAAAAGGCGCCCTGAGGACCCCTGCCATCGTTCCTTTTACTAAACGTCGCCTAGGCGGGATCGATGTGCAGGGTTTAATTCTCTCCTTTTTGCTGATCGAGTAATAAATTTTTCTCTTACAAGAGCAGACTTACTAGGCCTACTCTTGCTCTCCACGGGGCGATCTCTAACCCGGATGTACTCAGTGTACCTCCACGCCAGGTTGAGGCGCGGAACATTGTGGGATGTGGAGCTGGGAAGAACCGCCTAGTGACCGGAAGAACCAGACGACGGCGGCGGTGGATTTGGCTTGGCCAGCTCTCAGCTAGGCATCCGGCCAAAACTGGGAACGTCGAACTCCTTCACAGCTTAGGAGGCCCTACCACAGTTTACACTCTGCTTATTGCATTTAACATTCAGTGTACCCTACGCCACGTCGAGGTGCGGACCGTTGTGGGGGGCATGTTATGATAGTTCGTCGAGGCGCGAACCATTGTGGGGGCATGTTATGATAGTTTTCTTATATCAGGAATTTATTAACAAACTACCTGGCTTCCCGGTCCAGCCCGGACCATTGTTCACTTGGGAGAGGATACTGTTATGGTCCCAACATAGTACTGCAGCGGGACCATTCCCCTTCCATGCTAATGATGACTTTCCTTAGGACATCTGCACTTTACCTTGCCGCATCCTCGTGGTCACCAAGAT